ACACACACACACACACACACACATTATAACCTGCAACCAGCAACTAAATAAAATTAATATAATCAAAGAAGGGGAAAGGCTGCAGATCACACTAAGTAAAGACAGCATCAAAGAGCTTATGACCAATTTGAATTAATTTAACTAGGCAGGTCAGATAAAGTTCACCCCAGAGTGCTGAATAAACTTGCTGAGGGAAACCTGGGAAAGGAAAAACAAATATTCTGATAAAGAATGGGGCTAGGCAGCAACACAGTCAAGAAGGATGTGGGTCACAGAATTATCATGAACTGGCAATATGATGCTGTCTCAAAAGTGAATGAAACTTGGGGCTGCATTAAGAGAGGACTCATGCAAGACACAGGAGCTGATCATACCACTCTACTCAATGCTGGCTGTGCCTCAGACAGACTAATTAGCCCAGTTCTGGACACTGCATTTTAAGAAGGATATAGAGAAGATACAAGAATGAGTGATGAAGAAGATTAAGCAGTTAGAGTGCAAGTTGTACAAGTAAAAGCCATGAGAACTAAGTACATTCAGTCTGTGAAAAAGGAGATGAAGGAGGGATATGATTGTAGTTTACCAATATAAAAAAGAGGAAAAACAACTGCTCTTCCTAGCCACAGAGGATAGAACATGAGGCAATGACTTTAAACTGCAACAAAGTAGGTGTAGACTAAAACTCAGGAAAACTCTCTAACTTTGAGAATAGTAGGACAATGGCACAAGCTGGCCAAGGAAGCTGTAGAGTCTCCATCATTGAGGGATTTCAGGAAGATCCTGAAGAGGCATCTGTCTGCGATGGTTTAGGAACAGCACGTCCTGAATCTGTTCAGAAGGTTGGATAAGCTGATCCTTGAGCTCCCTTCCAATCCTGTGATTCTATGATTAACCACTTTGTACATGCCCAGTGCAATTCTAGTAGGCTCAGGATTAAATATCTAGTAGTGCATATGATTTTTTTGCCAACTGACAGGTAATGGAATAAGGAATTTTATAGTTGATCTTTAATATTTGAATACTGAACAAGTCATTTGCAGTAGAAAACTAGGCACAAATCTGTGTGATTTAGGAATACAACTGCTTTAGTTCAAATTTAATTAACTCCCTTGTCTGAACATGGAAATAAGAAACCTTTCTACCAATTATAGCTGAATGACTGGTGCCCAAAATAATTTCTAAACATTTGTTAGGTTCCACTTCATTATAAAGTGATTGAAAATACAGGGCATGTCTACATGTGCATTTTCACTCGCTTGAAGTTTCTGCACAGTAAGTTATTACGCAGGAAGCGGGAATAAGTGGGCATCTCCATGTGCAGGCGTTAAAGTGCACTAACACTGTGTGTTGACTGACTTGGGACTAAAGTTAGCCCCAAGTCAGTCCACACACACAGTGTTACTGTGCAGTCAGGTGTCTACATGTGCATTACTATGCAGTAAATAATTGGGGATCAATTTGATACCTGCACGATGCAGGTATCAAATTTACACCTAAGTCGGCATAAGTCACCATATTTACTGTGTAGTACAGGCATGTACATGTAGATGCATTCCCGTACAATGCAGTAATTTTGGTTACTGTGCAGTAAATGCACACATGTAGAGGCACCCACGGTGTAGTTAGTCTGAATTTAAGCTTTGTGTTACTGTAATTGCCATTAATTCATTTGCTTGAAAGGTTAACTAATGGTGTGAGCAATCAAACTAACTACTGTGAGGTCAAAGGGGGTGGGGATTTACCATACATCTGTGGCAACTGCCTGTATGCATGCTCTTACCCTCTGGTACCTGAGAGCTAAGCTGCACTAGCTGAGCCCTCTGGGAAGGTGAGGGGAAGCACTGTGTTTTAATTTTCATCTACTGCAGGGTAAAAGCATGCACACAGGGAGCTCACATAAAGCAGCTGACATATAGCAAATCCCTGCTGCTTTAACCTCACATGGCTGTGTCTACATCAGATGCTGACTGAGCAGTTGTTATTGTGTAGTCCTTTAGTAATTGTATAAACATGTACTAAATGACTGCGTAGTAACTATAGTGTTTGCCCTTGGCCACTGTATTCCTGGGATGGGGTACTCACTCAGACCTCCATGCCCCTGGGGTTCTGTCCTCGAGGCAGCATTCAACAGAGACTGATAGGATGGTAAACAGCTTTATCTTTATTAGGAGCAGGATTCAGCAACACACACACTCACAGCTTGCAGGGGGAGCCACAACAATTCACCACCAACAAACCGCACTCACAGGGCCTCAGAGGGAAAGACTGAAATGTCCCACTGCAGGTACATTCCCTTCCAGGTACATTCCATATACCACGCCCCCCTTCTTTACTCTGGGAGCTCCCTTTTAAGTAGTTGAATGTTCATCAGTAGCTAATTTAACCCGGAACAGTTCAGGAGCATGGAGCCAGAGGTTGCTAGCACTTGGCTCACTGCTGGGTCTAGCCTTTACCTCTATCCCATTACATAGTCCAGGGGTCAGCAACCCCCGGCATGTGTGCTAAGCATGGCACGTGAGGCCATTTTGGTTGGCACACCACTGCCAGCCTGGGGTCTAGGCAGCTGCAGCCAGCCTGGGCTCCATGGTTGGCAGCAGCTACCCAGAGCCTGGGCCGGTTGCAGCCAGGAGGCTGCAAACAGCTGCTCTGGGCTCCAGCAACAGCAATATATTGGTGGGTGCACATGCACCTCAGAGAGGACGGTGGGGGAGGGCCCTGAGGCAGCGCAACCCTGGCCTGTCCCTTGATGCCAGCATAGAGCTGATGACTGGGCTCTGGAGCCGGGCACAGCTGTTTGTAGCCAGCCTGGGCTCTGGGCAGCTGCAGCAGGCAGCAGGCAGGCTGCAAACAGCTGCGCCAGGCTCCAGAGCCCCAGCATCAGCTCCATGATGGCAGAAACTTCATGTGTACCTCAGAGCAGATAGTGGGAGGGCTGTGCCGCCTCAGGCCCTATTCCCACTGCTCCGAGGTGCACATGCATCCGCCAGTATGGAGCTGATGCTGGAGCCTAGAGCAGCTCTTTGCAGCCTCCTGGCTGCAGCCAGTCCAGACTCTGGTAGCTGCTGCCAACCACGGAGCCCAGGCTGCTTGCAGCAGGGCTTGTAGCTGAGCCCGCCTGACTTCCAACCACTCTGAGCCCAGCTCCGGCCCAGCCCCCCACCAGGATGAGGCTGGCGCTTCCCCTTGCCTGGAGCACCGCACCTTTCACAGGCGTAGCTGTGTGGGGTGGGTGTGTGGTTGGGCTGATGGGCAGGCTCTGAGCTGGGACCTCGGCCAGCTGTGCTGCAGCCCGGGGGCTGGCTCCCCAGGGAAGCACAGGGGCTCTGGTGGGACCAGAGCATTGCTGGGTCGGACTTTGTCCAGTGGTCCAGGAGCCCGGCTCTGTGCGTCCACACATCTTGTTCAGTGTGTTTGTCTGCCTCTGTCTGGTTCTGTGTGTCTGTGTGCACACATGTGTCTGGTTCCGGATATGTATGTGCATGTGTCTGTTCTGAGTGTGTTCTGGTTCTCTGTGTTTGTGCATGTTGTTCTCTGTGTGCGCGTGTCTGGTTCTCTCTCTGCTCTCCTTTTTCTTTCCCTCTCTCCTCTTTCTATTATTTGTCTCTTTTTTCTCTCTCTCTCATTGCAACATGCTCAACAAGAAAGAAATACACAACAGCAAAGGCAACATTTATGATTATTAAATATACTAATATGCAGTGCATCCTGCCATGTATCCCCCTCCCCCCCTCCCATTTTGTTTTTCTGGCATGCCGGCACTCTGGCACCTTCCAAGGTAGACATTGTGGTCTTTTTGGCACTCTGGCCAAAAAACATTGCCTACCCCTGACATAGTCCTTGTAATTCACAGGCAACTTCACCATATGTCCATTCTTAGTTTGCATGGTGCCAGTGGGTGTCTCTGTGGGTACTGGTGGATGATCTGAAATGTAACAAAATCATTGCTCTTGATGGTCTGGTTTTACTTCTGATGCTTGTTCTGCAGCTATCTCTTGAGGTACATCAACTTGTTCTGCTGGTACTGTTCTTTCCTTAGGTGGCTTCTGTTTCTCCTGTAGACACTACCACTGGGGGTTTTTACCACACAGAAACACAGTTCATCCCTTTTTGCCGTAATGGACGCTGGTATCCAACCTGTACTTGTTTGCATCCTTTCTTTCTCCCCCTCTCGTAGAGGTGGCAAGAATGCAGTTGTGTGGTCATAGTGTGTCTTTTGGCACCTTTGAAGGTTTCACAACTTGTGGGAGACATTCGACAGTAGTCTAGGAGTGCCCACTGCTGTTGTAGCAAGGAGGGTACTATGCAGAAGTCTCCCCATCAGAAGCTGTGGTGGAGCATACTCAAGACCAGTAATGGGTGTGTTCCTCAGATTGAGTAAAGCCAGATATAGATCAGGGCCACCCTGCAAAGTCTTCTTAAACATTGATTTGATGGTCTGAACTGTGTGGTTAGCCTGACCCTTGGATTGTGGATAACCTGGACTATGGGCAACTGGTGCCTCCTGAGTCTGGGGGGGCACCCGCTGAAGCCATTAGCAGCATTGGTGGTGGGGATGGGGCTGGTGAGCACCTACAGAAGCCACTGACAGCATTGGAAGCAGGGATGGTGCTGGCGAGCACCTGCAGAAGCCGCCAGTGGTGTCAGCAGTGGGGATGGGGCTAGTGAGCACTTGCAGAAGCCGCCAGGGGCAGTGGGGATGGGGCTGGCAAGCACCCACACAAGGTGGCGGTGGTGGGAACGGCCCTGTCAGGGGGAGCATGTGCCCCCCCTGTATCCCCCTATCAGTCTCCTATGTTCAGAGTTACACAAAGGTGAAGGAGATCATTAGAAGGGACCTGTTGTTTGCAGATGATGCAGCCCTTGTGGCTCACAGTGTTGATGCCGTACAACGTCTCATTCCCAAGTCCTCTGACTCATGCAAAACCTTTGGGCTAGCAATAGATTTGAAGAAGACTGCTATCATGCATCAAGGCTCTGCAGAACCAGTTCCAGATATCATCCTAGATGGTACTCATCTGGATGTTGTTAACCAATTTTTCTACCTTGGCTCGACTGTTCCCAGCAATGTAGATCTGGATGCTGAGCTCACTAGTAGAACTGGCAAAGCAGCCAGGAACTTTCAGTTTTCGCAAGACAGAGTCTGGAGCAATAACAAACTGTGAACTGAAGTAAAAAAAACATATATGAGGCATGTATTTTATCCACTCTTCTGTATGGCTCAGAAACATAGGCGACCTACACCAAACATGCCAAAAGTCTAAAGTGCTTTCATATCAGATGCCTGTGAAAATTCTTCGAATAAGAAGGCAAGACAGGATGACAAATGAGGAAGTGTTATATCCTGCTGGTATGTCATGCATAGGATGTTGATTAGTAAGAAAACCCTCAGGTGGCTCAGTCATGTCAAGCGAATGCTGCATCACAAGATCCTAAAGAATGTGTTCGCCTATGAAGCTCATGAAGCGCTTTGAAGCTCATGAAGGCCTTCAAGAGAGGCAGACGGCTGCACAGATTTCAGGATGTGTGCAAAGATGAATTAGCATCCTTTGGAATTGCTGTGGATGGTTGGGAAAGGAGTGTGGATGGCCACTCTGGTTGGCAGAGTCAGCTTGCAGATGGAGCAAGGTGCTGCGAGGCAGACTGGGTCAAGTTTTGTGATGATCAGTGTCAGAGGAGGAAAGAATCAGAGTATTGCTAGTGCGTGGCTGTGCCCTACCTGGGGGAACAATCAGTGGTGGATGTAGGGTTAGTGGGGCCCCGTGTGCAGCTTCATTTTTGCACCCCGCCCCCCCAGCTGGACCCAGCCAAGAAAAAGAACATTCTCTCTTACCTCCCTCCTCCCATTTTTCATTCTTTTTTTCTTCATCCTCCTCCTATATTATAAGTAAAGAAGTAAATGGAAATAAAGTGAGGTACCTTGATAGTTTTTGTAGTCTAAATTTTTTTTCACAGACCATTTGAAAATTGCTGAGGATCTCGGCGGACCACTTGATCTTTCCAAATGTTGTTTGTACCATTAGCTAACTATTGTAAAGCGCTTTGGACAACAGCACTTTATAAAAAAACCTGAATAACTTTTCCTTGGTCCACCTGAATAGAGTTCTTGAACCACAGGTTGAGAACTTCTGGTCTAGATGAAAGCTTGTATTTGCATTACGCTAATGTGAAAAATGTGTAAACATAAAAAGTATAGATGACACTTGAATGGAAAAATAAAAGTTAACTTCCTCAGAAGAAACGTATTCGATTTGAAAAAATATATATTTATTCAGATAGCTTTTTTTTCTACACTTTTTCATTACAAAATCATCAATTGTCATTGTAAGTAATATTTTGTAAAAAGGCACTTTCAATTGTCAATATTGTCAAACTTGTCACATGTTCCCGACTCATTGTATTTCACAAATTATTTTTAACTTGTTTCAATACAGAAAAAAACGCTCACCAGAAGCATTTGTGACAGGCATTTTAAAAAATATTTTCAGAATGGTTTCTACATTTAGAAAGGTTGGCTGCAAACCGTCACATACTAGTCTATACAAATCAACTGTGATCTCGAAACACAGACCTCTTCATTTTTGATAAAATGAATAATATGTTTCACTTCATCTTCAGAAAGATTTGTGTCTATATCCTCTCAATAGAATTCACTTAATTTCTTACTGCTTCTTAATGCTTTCAGCATTTTCATCCATACTTCTGTCAAAAAACACACAAAATAAATGAACAGTTTTCTTTAGAGATTTACCTCTACTCTGCAATTGCACTATTATTGTGTCACAAATACCATTGATGGTCTCAACAATGATCTTTTTTGTCCCTTTTAAATTAATTTCATTGTCTCTAGTTTCATTGAAAAATAACTTCCTGCTTTTTTTACACTTCTCATCAGGTATATCAGAGGACCTATATTTTCTGTTAATGTTAGTGCCTCTGCTTCCACTGAGCTATAGTCATTTTGAACTTCCATGACAAAAGTTTTAACTGAGGCTAACAATTGTGCAGCATTCAATAAATTTGTATCAACCTTTTGCAGCAATTTGCTGACGGCATTAATTCTGTGAAGTAACCAGTTCCACAAAAGAGTAAAAACAGCAATATCATACTTTTCAAACTTTTCTGCTAAGGATTTTGCTTCAGTTTTTGCATGCATGCGGTTTTTCAGAATTTGATGTGGCTATGTTTAATAAGGTTTTCTTTATATCATCATAGTTCATTTTCAAAGCAAAACAGCATCTGCAGGAGCAGACCACCTGGTGCTACAAATTCTTTTGACTGTCAAATGTTTTTCACTTGCCTGCTCCAAGCGTGATTGTAGCATACTCCACCGATGTGTGGAAACTGAAAAAAAGGCATACACATTTTGAACGAAGTCAAAAAAATGTGTAGCTCCCTCACAAGATTCAGCTGAAGCATTGCAGATTAGATTTAAGGAATGGCTGGAACATGGTATGAATAAAGCAGAGGGGTTTGCATTGTTCAGTCTTGCCTGTAGATCTGAATATTTTCCTGCCATATTTCCGGTGTTATCAAAGCTCTGCCTATGACAAGTTTTTATGTCCAAACCTAAATTTGCAATGATTTCCAAAACAGTTGTCTCTAGACATTCAGAAGTGTGGGATTTTAGTGGGACAAAACAAAGAAATCTCTCTACAACTTCACCATTGTCAGTCACATATCTTAAAATTAATGTTAATTGATCTCACATCTGGTGTTGAATAGTACTTGGCATCCTTCATCAGTGAATAGGTTTCTGAGCGTTTTGCCATTATAACGATGAATTCATCGTAGGTTTGGTGTATTAAAAAGTTGATCTTCCCTGAGCCACAATACTGGTAATTTTTCAAATGCTCTTTGAGAAAATCATCAAATCCGCTAAGATATTCAAGGCAAGTTAAAAAATTACCTTTTCGATTTGACAATATTGACTCATCATGTCCTCTTAGAGGTAGTCCCAAAGAAGACAGCAGTTTGACCATAGCAACAACACGTCTCAGCACTTTCCTCCAATAAGAACTCTCCTTTTCAAATTGACCCAATAACAGAAAATCAATTCTTCCAGATAAATTACGGCATTGAATGAACTTCCACATAGCATTAATATGAGCTTTGGAAGTTTCATGATCTGCAATATCTCTTGCAATGCTTCTCCAATTAGAGAGCACATTGATGACTCTTTGTTTTCCTTTACTATGGTCGGGAATAATTTGCAAATGTAACAGTAGACTGCTTCAGTGGTTTCCAAAAAAAGCAACCAAATTCTCATTTCTGTCATCCCATTTTTCTTCATCCTCAGAAAATGGGACTCATGAAGACCTCTAAATTGCTTTTGTCCTCCAACCTCATACTCTTTTCTCAGATTTTCCATATTACCTACGTTTTTCGGTTTATTTACTAAGAAATATTCTATCATATAAAATGAAACAGATTTTGGCCATAATGCAACCTTCAGGGTAGGTTTCTTCCGTTACTTTGACAAAATTACCAATATTTTGTAGTTCCATTGTCACTTCAGAGTGCACTTGTTCAACTTCTGCAGTCGTTGTAGTATCCCCACAACTCAGCGAACGATCAGATAATTCAGGTGTTTCCTCACCCATACTTTTTTATGAATGTCCACTATTCAATATTTCAAGCTTTTTAAAATAAGATGACAAACTGTCTTTTTGCTGAGCTTCATCTTCTTGCCTTGCCTTCATATTTTTGCGTTTTTGACTGCAAGACTCATAGTGTGGCTTCATTACTGTTAAAAACTGACCTAGATTTTAGGCAGATTAAAGATGTCTGAAAGAGCAGGGGCCTATCTACAGGTTGGCCTGAGCAACCAATTAAGATTAAAGCAGTTAATCCCGTGTTTTTGTAACATCGCTCTGTGTTTTGTACAGGCTCTGTAAAAACAGGATTTTGAACTATTGCATACTAGTGACTATGTGGGCCGGGAGCGATCTGCGGCCCTTTTGCGCACGCGGGCTGTGGCCAGCAGCCCGGGCACGTGGGGTCGGAGAGAACAGGCGACACGCTAAAATTAGTCACGAGAGATCTTCACACAGTGTGAAGTCTCCTCCTCCTGGTGTTCGTGGAGTCCTCCCTTGCGGGGGTTCTCCTCGGAGTTCTCCAAGTTCTTCAAGTTCTCCAACTTGGGCGGAAACCACCCAAGCCTTTTATATGGCTAGCAAGCCAATCGCTAGCCAACACGTGGGAATATTTTAACACAAGCCAATAATGGGGCTCAAATTCTAATACAAATGGCGGGGAATCTTTGTAA